GGCGGCTGCTTTGGGATGGGCTGGTCGGGATACGCGAAGCGTCAAGAGCGGGGGGGGCACGGGGGAGAAGGCGCGGAGGCCCGGGAAGACTGGGGGGGGCACGCGGGGTAGATGGGCGCAGGGGAGGAGCGGGGGGAGGGCGCACGGTCGGAATAAGGCGAGGGGGGCCCAGGGAAGGCGGGGGGTGCACGAGGGAGCATGCGCGGAAGCTCGGAGAAGGTGGGGGAAGCACGGGGGCCAGGGGAGGGGAGCGCAGGGAAGGAGCGGGGAGAGGGCGCACGATCGGAATAAGGGGAGGGGGGCCAGGGGAAGGCGGGTGGAGCACGAGGGAGAAGGCGCGGAAGCCCGGAGAGGGCGGGGGCGCGCAGGGAAGCACGGACGCAAGAGGAGGGAGGCGCAGGGGAGGAGCGGGGCGAGGGGGCGCACGGTCTGAGTAAGGGGAGGGGAACCCGGGAGGGCGGGGAAGCACGGGGGAGAAGGCGCGGAGGAAAGGGAAGAATGGGGGGAGCACCGGGACAACGGGAGAGTGGGCGCAGGGGAGGGGCGGGGGGAGGGCGCACGGTCGGAATAAGGGGAGGGGGCCTCTGGGAAGATGGGGGGCACGGGGGCAAGAGGAGGGAGGCGCAGGGGAGGAGCGGGGGGAGGGCGCACGGTCGGAATAGGGGGGGGGGTCCGGGGAGGGCGGGGGGAGCACGGAGGGGAGGAGCGGGGGGAGGGCGCACGGTCGGAATAAGGCGAGGGGGGCCCGGGGAAGGCGGGGGGGGCACGGAGGAGAAGGCGCGGGGGCCCGGGGAGCGTGGAGGGAGCACGGGGGCAAGAGGAGACAAGCGCAGGGGAGGAGCGGTGGAGGGGGACGCACGGTCGGAATAAGGGAGGGGGGCCCGGGGAAGGCGGGGGGAGCACGGGGGACAGGGCGGGGGAGCCCGGGGGGCGTGGGGGGAGCACGGAGGCATCGGGAGAAGGGCGCAGGGGAGGGGCGGGGGGAGAGCGCACGGTCGGAATAAGGGGAAGGGGCATCTGGGCAGACGGGGGGCACGGAGGCAAGAGGAGGGGGGTGCATAGAGGCCTCCTAGATGGGGTCGGAAGAGATGGGGTCGGAGGATCGCGCCGCATCGTTGGTACATCGGCGATGCATCGGCGATGTATCGGCGATGCATCGGCGATGCACCCGCGATCCATCGGCGACGTGGGCGATGAATCGGCGACGTCGACGTGAAGCAAATCGGGTTCCGCATCGAGCCGCATCGGCGATGCATCGGCGATGCAACGTGATCCTCCGACCCCATCTACTCCGACCCCATCTATGAGGTTTAGAGTGCAGGGGAGGAGCGGGGGGAGGGCGCACGGTCGGAATAATAAGGGGAGGGGGGCCCGGGGAGGGCGGCGGAAGCACGGGGGAGAAGGCGCGGAGGCCCGGGAAGAATGAGAGGAGCACGGGGGCAACGGCAGAGGGGCGCAGGGGAGGAGGGGGGGAGGGCGCACGGTCGGAATCAGGCCAGGGGGGCCCGGGGAAGGCGGGGGGCACGGAGGCAAGAGGAGGGAGGCGCAGGGGAGGAGCGGGGGGAGGGCGCACGGTCGGAATAAGGCGAGAGGGGGGCCCGGGGAGGACGGTGGGAGCGTGGAAGGGAGGAGCGGGGGGAGGGCGCACGGTCGGAATAAGGGGAGGGGGGCCCGGGGAGGGCGGCGGGAGCACGGAGGAGCAGGCGCGGGAGTCCGGGGAGCGCGGGGGGAGCACGGGTGCAAGGGAGAGGGGCGCAGGGGAGGAGCGGGAGAGGAGGGGCGCACGGTCGGAATAAGGGGGGGGGGCTCGGGAAAGGCGGGTGGAGCGCGGGGGAGAAGGCGCGGAAGCTCGGGGAGCGTGGGGGGAGCACGGGGCGAAGGGAGCGGGGCGAATGGGAGGAGCAGGGGGCAGGTGCACGGTTGGAATAAGGGGAGGGAGGCCCGGGGACGGCGGGGGAAGCACGGGGGGGAAGGGCGCGGGGGCGCAGGGAAGGTGCGAGGAGGACGGTGGCAAGAGGAGGGAGGCGCAGGGGAGAGCGGGGGGAGGAGGGGGGGGCGCGCACGGTCGGAATAAGGAGCGGGGGGGCTCGGGGACGGCGGGGGAAGCACGACGGAGGAGAATGCGCGGGGGCCGGGGAGCGTGGAGGGAGCACCGGGGCAAGGAGAGAGGGGCGCAGGGCCGGAGCGGCGGGGGGCGCACGGTCGGATAAAGAAGGGGGAGGCCCGGGGAGAGCGGGGGAAGCACGGGGGAGAGGGGCGCGGGGGCGCGGGGAGGGTGGGAGGAGGACTTGGGCAAGAGGAGGGAGGCGCAGGGAGAGCGGGGGGAGGAGCGGCGGGGTTGGGCGCACGGTCGGAATAAGGTAGGGGGTTCGGGGACGCGGGGGGGCACAGAGGAGAAGGCGCGGGGGCCGGGGAGCGCGGGGGAGAACCGGGGCAAGGAGAGAGGGGCGCAGGGGAGGAGCGGCGGGTGGGCGCACGGTCGGAATAAGGGCAGGGGGACCCGGGGAGAGCGGGGGGGGGCACAGAGGAGAAGGCGCGGGGGCCGGGGAGCGCGGAGGGAGCACCGGGGCAAGGAGAGAGGGGCGCAGGGGAGGAGCGGCGGGTGGGCGCACGGTCGGAATAAGGGCAGGGGGACCCGGGGAGAGCGGGGGGGGGCACAGAGGAGAAGGCGCGGGGGCCGGGGAGCGCGGAGGGAGCACCGGGGCAAGGAGAGAGGGGCGCAGGGGAGGAGCGGCGGGGGAGGCGCACGGTCGGAATAAGGGCAGGGGGACCCGGGGAGAGCGGGGGGGGGCACAGAGGAGAAGGGGGCGGGGGAGCGCGGGGGGAGCACCGGGCAAGGAGAGAGGGGCGCAGGGGAGGAGCGCGGGTGGGCGCACGGTCGGAATAAGGGCAGGGGTGCGGAGGGCGCGAGGAGTGAGCGCACCGGGGCAGGCGGGGAGAGCACAGAGGAGAAGGCGCGGGGGCCAGGGAGCGCGGAGGGAGCACCGGGGGAGAGGGGCGCAGGGGAGGAGCGGCGGGGGAGCGCACGGTCGGAATAAGGGCAGGGGGGCCCGGGGAGAGTGGGGGGAGCACTGGAACCAGGGCGCGGGGGCGTGGGGAGGGTGGGGGGAGGGAGAGGAGGGCGCAGGGGAGGAGCAGGCAGGGGGGGCGCACGGACGGAAATAAAGCAGTGCGAGATCACACCGGTAGGTATGATGATAAATACACACAAATAGGGGGCGCGCAGAGGGGAGGCCCCGAGGAGAGGAGGGGGGGGGAGAGGTGCTGAGAGGAGGGGAGGAAGGAGGAGGAGGAGGAGGAGGAGGAGTGGGGGAGAGAAGAAGAAGGGAGGGAAGAGGAGAGGAGCGGAGGGCAGAGAAGAGGAGGGAGGGCGAGGGGGGAGAGGAGCGGAAAGGAGAGCCAGGTGCGTTCGCGCCCTGTTTGACATCCTAGCCCTCCCACCCATTCCTGCCCACTGCGCTAATCGTTTCTTCATCCGCCGACGCGTGACACTGCAGACCTCGAGCTCCCAGCGCGCGATTGCGAAACAACCAAAAAAAAACTGCGTACAGTGGAGGAGGAGGAGGAGGGGGAGGAGGAGGAGGAGGAGGAGGAAGCGGATGCGCAGGAGGATGAACAGAAGGAGGAAGGAGGAGGACGAGGACGAGCAGCAGCAGCAGGCGCGGGGGCGGAAGGAGCGGCAGGAGCAGGAGGACCCGGGGAAGGCGGAGGAGGGGAAGGGGGGGAGCTGCAGCGATGGATAAGAAGGGCTCGGATCCCAAAAAAGCGGCCCGCGCTGGGGCGAATGCGCCAGTCTGAACGAGACGGGAGCGAGGGGAGGAGGAGGAGGAGGAGGAGGAGGAGGAGGCTTTTTTGCTGCAAGAACGATGCCTGGCGGTCCCCGCCCCAGCTCGCCACATGTGAGACGGATGGGCGGGCACTCCACCTCGGGGTGCCATCCCGCCCCTTCCAGATCAGTCCATGAGGCGCTCCCAGAACGCTGCGCACTCCTCCTGTACCAGGGAGCGCGGCTCTGCCTCCAGGGAGACCTTCACTGCATAAGGATTTTTGCCTCGGCGCAGGAGCGAGAGGCGGTACTTTGCGGTGGGGTTCGCAGGGGGCCCCACGCAGGCAGCCAAGAGCTTGCACCCCCTCTCGCTCGAGAACACACCGCACCGATCGCAGAATGTATACTGGCCCACGCGGTGCAATTCGTGCCCCAAGGCCGCACCGCGGAGGGCGGGAGAGATGACGCCTTCCCCATCCCCCCGCCCCAACCCAACACCCCACCGACGATCCACCCTCATCTTGCCATGGCAGGGCCTGCGCGCCAACGCGCGCCTGGTCTTGCTAGAGAAGGCCTTTCGCCCGCACGTCGAGCAACGCCACGCCCCCCTCCTCCAGAGGAGGACGTGGGCGCGGGCCCCTTCGGGTGGCCCTTGCCGCCGTCGGCGGGCTCCGCTGGAGCCCGCGGCAGGCCTCCCCGTGGAATCCCCGAGGAGGAGGAGGAGGAGGAGGAGGAGGAGGAGGAAAGGGAGGAGGAGGAGGAGCATGAGGAGGAGGAGGAGGAAAGGGAGGAGGAGGAGGAGGAGGAGATCAGAACGCGAAGGGCACAGGAGGGAGCACAATGTGTCCGTGGTTGTCCTCTTTTGCATCTGCATGACAATGTCAAGCATCGCTTCACATTCAGCTTTCTGTGGCCGCCCCCGATGAGGGACGACACGCGTCCTCTCTGAACAAGCCTCGAGGGAGGAAGGTCGGGGACCCTCAATCAAGATCGCGGAAATAGGGGGGGCAGAGGAAGGCAAGGGAGGGGAGAGGAGAGGGGAGAGGAGAGAGGAGAGGCGAGAGAGGAGAGAGGAAGGGAGAGGAGAGGAGGGGAGAGGAGGGGGGGAGAGACGATAAGAGAGGAGGGGAGAGGAGGGGAAAAAGAGAGGACGGGAGAGGACGACGACGACGACGCCGTCGGCGGCGGCGGCGGCGGCCGCCGCGCGCGGCGGGGTGGTGGTGGTCGGGGCCGCCTGCGGCGCTCGGGGTGGAGCCGGCGCAGGGCGTCGAGTGCGGCGCGCCTGCGGGGGGAGGAGGGGGGCGCCGACGACGACGACGACGACGACGACGACGACGACGACGACGACGACGACGACGACGACGACGACGACAACATCGAAAAAAGCCACGGCGAGGATGACGAGGACGCTGCCGTCGACGGCGGCAACGGCTCCAAGATGGCCCCAAGAAGGCCCTAAGACCATCCAAAAGAGCCCCAAGAGGACCCCAAGATACCCCAAAAGAGCTCCAAGAGGGCTCCAAGAGGCGATTTTGAGGACTCTGTCCTTGTCCTTTGTGCCCTCCTCCTCCTCCTCCTCTTCCTCATCGTCCTCGTCCTTGCCCTCATCGTCTTCACTGTCCTGTTCCACCTCTTCCTCCTCGTCGTCGTGGTGGTAGTCGTCGTCGTCGTCGTCTTCTTCCTCCTCCTGTTCCTCCTCCTCTTCCTCCTTCCCTCGCCTCCACGCGGACCCCATGGCTCGAAGAGGCCATCCAAAGCTACCCCCCTGCTCCAAAATATCACTCTGACCCTGGTTGCCCGTTCCGATTCTCTTTTTCGTGTCTCGTCGTCCCTTTTCACGTCAACTCTCCTTGGCAGGGTTTCTGAACGGGCTGATGGGGACTTCTTTCCCATATCCTAAGATGGGGATCTTGTTATCACTTGGACGCCTCCTACTCCTTTCTCCTCTTCTTCTCCTCCTCCTCATCATCCTCCTCATACCCAGACTTACTCATACACAGACCTAATCACATTCGGACTTCTTCATGACACAAGAAGCTCTCACCCCCTCACGTCCATACCCAGTCATAGTCATACCCACTCCCACTCGTACTCGTGTGCGTCATTTGCGGTACAACTCGTTTCCTCCCACTTGGACTTACTCATGCTCAGATATACTCATGCCCAGACTTACTCGTACACAAACTTACGAATACTCAGACCTACTCCTACTTAGACTCACTCATACTCGGGCTTGCTCATGCTGAGACGCACTCATACCCAGACTTACTCATACTCAGACTCGCTTCCAGGCGTACTCATACACAGACTTACTCCTACACAGACCTACTCATACTCAGACTTGTTCATTGTTTGACTTACTCAACACACAGCAGATTGTCAGGATGTCTCCGGCGGGGCGACGGTTCCAGCACCTCAAAAGGGAGCCGCCAGGGATGTTTTCACGGTCCCGTTCGCAGCAATTGTGTGGGGATGTCTCAGGCGGTTTGCCTGTTGTCTCTCAACATCCTTTGCTGTCAGAGCAGAGTTTGAGCCTGTCTCGGGCGGGGCGCTGGTTTCAGCACCCCCAAGGGGAGCCGCCAGGGATGTTTTCACGGGCCCGTTCGCAGCAACGTTGCGGGGATGTCTCAAGTGGTTTGCCTGTTTTCTGTCTGAACATCCTTGGCTATCAGAGCACATGTTTAGTATGTCTCAGGCGGAGCGCTGGTTTCAGCACCCCCAAGGGGAGCCGCCAGGGATGTTTTCACGGGCCCGTTCGGAGCAATGTTGCGGGGATGTCTCAGGCGGCTTTCCTGTTTTTTCCCATATCCTAAGATGGGGTTCTTGTTATTGCTTGGACGCCTCCTACTCCCTCTTTTTCTCCCCCACTCCTCTCGGACTTACTCATACTCAGACTTACTCGCACCCAGGCTTACTCATACACAGACTTATTCATACTCACACATACTCATACTCAGACCTACTCATACACAGACTTACTCATATCCAGACGTACTCATACACAGACTTACTTACTAATACGTACTCATACGCAGATTTATTCAACACACAGAAGATTCGGAGTATGTCTCAGGCGTGGCGCTGGTTTCAGCATCCCAAAAGGGAGCCGCCAGGGGTGTTTTCACAGGCCCGTTCGCGGCCAGTGTGTGGGGATGTCTCAAACGGTTTGGCTGCTTTGGTGGGCAGACTCGTCTGCGTTTACAGCAGTTTGTGAGGATGTCTCAGGCGGGGCGCTGGTTTCGGTACCCCTAAGGGGCGCCGCCAAGGGTACCTTCACGAACCTGTTCGCAGCCAGTTCGTGGGGATGTCTCAGGCGGTTAGGCTGTTTTGGTGGGCAGACTCGTTTGCGTTTATAGCAGCTTGTGAGGATGTCTCAGGCGGGACGCTGGTGTCAGCACCCCTAAGGGGAGCCGCCATGGCTGTTTTCACGGGCCCGTTCGCGGCCAGTTTGTCGTGATGTCTCAAACGGTTTGGCTGTTTGGGTGCGCAGACTCGTCTGCGTTTAGAGCAGTTTGTGAGAATGTATCAAGCGGGGTGCCGGTTTCAGCACCCTGAAAGGGCGCCGCCAGGAGTGTTTTCACGAGCCCGTTCGCGGCCACTTTGTGGGGATGTCTCAGACGGTTTAGTTGTTTTTGTGGGCAGACCCGTCTGCATTTAAAGCAGCTTGTGAGGATGTCTCAGGCGGGGCGCTGGTTTCAGCACCCCTAAGGGGAGCCGCCATGGCTGTTTTCACGGGCCCGTTCGCAGCCAGTTTGGGGGGATGTCTCAGGCGGTTTGTTCGCTTTCATGCCCAACATCCTTGGCTTTCAACTCAGATTCTGAGGATGTCTCCGGCGGGGCGCTGGTTTCAGCACCCGTAACGGGCGCCGCCAAGAGTGTTTTCACGGGCCCGTTTGCGGCCAGTTTGTGAGGATGTCTGAAGCGGTTTAGCTGTCTTGGTGGGCAGACCCGTTTGCGTTTTGAACATTTTGTGGGGATGTCTCAGGCGGGGCGCTGGTTCCATCACCTCGAAAGGCTGTTTTCACGAGCCCGTTCGCGGCCAGTTCTTGGTGATGTCTAAAGCGGTTTGGCTGTTTTGGTGGGCGGACTCGTCCGCGTTTAGAGCAGTGAGGATGTCTCAGGCGGGGCGCTGGTTTCAGCACCCCTAAGGGGAGCCGCCGAAGGTGTTTTCACGGGCCCGTTCGCGGCCAGTTCGTCGTGATGTCTCAAGCGGTTTGCTCGTGCTCATGCCTAACAGCCTTGGTTTTCATATCAAATTCTGAGGATGTCTCAAGCGGGGCGCTGATTCCAGCACCCCTAAGGGGAGCCGCCACGGATGTTTTCACGGGCCCGTTCGCGGCCAGTTTGTGGGGATGTCTCATGCGGTTTACTCGTTTTCGTGCCCAACATCCTTCGTTTTCAAAGCAGGTTGTGATGATGTCTCAGGCGGGGCGCTGGCTTCAGCACCCTAAGAGAAGCCGCCAGGGGTGTTTTCACGGGCCTGTTCGTGGCCAGCTTGACTAGGGGGAATGAATGGGAAGCTCCGGTTCAATCGTACTCAAATCTTATTCTGACTCATACCCACTCACCCGCATTAGGATTCACTCGTTTTCGTCGGCCCTGTCGCCCACGTGGACGCGCTAATATAATCAAGCGCTGATGAACAGACGCGCACTACGGCATGACATAAAACATGAGATGCACAGATGGGGAACTCCACGCAGTGAGTAATTCTCTCACCATCCCTGGCTATCAGAACAGATTCTGAGGATGTCTCAGGCGGGGCGCTGGTTTCAGCACCCCCAAAAGGGAGCCGCCAGGGGTGTTTCCACGGTCCCGTCCGCACCAATGTTGATGGGATGTCTCAAGCGGTTTGTCTGCTTTCTGTCTCAACATCCTTCGGTGTCGGAACAAATTTGGAGGATGTCTCGAGCGAGGCGCTCATTTGCACCCGCCCAGGTGAGCCAGACTTTGAAGATGTTTCGATCGGTCTGCTTGTTTTGGTGGCCAGAATCGTGGGCACATATTTTCCCCAGGATGCCACAACAGGCTCCAACAGGCTCCAAGAGGCCCCAGGAGGTCACACGAGGTCCCAGGAAGCATCAGAAGGCCACGGAATGATTCAAGAGGCCACAGGTTATCCCAAAAGGCTCCAAGAGGCCCCAGGAAGCACCAGGAGGCCTCAGGAAGCCACAGGAGGCCCCAGGAAGCCACAGGAAGCGCCAGGAGGCCCCGGAAGGCAACAGGAAGCCCCGAGAGGCCCCAGGAGCAGGAGGCCTCAAGAGGGCAACAGGACTGGCTCCAATCCCATGTGTTTTACGCGTGTTCTTATATATTGGGCCCCAGTTGGAGCACGATTCCTCGATGTTATACATACGTTTCTATAGATTGTCACTCTCATGTGTACACAATCCTAAATGGTTCACTTATGTTCCTATAGATCGTGCCTCTCCTGGGCCATTTTTTCTGTGGCTCCAATCCGAAATGTTTCCCCCGGAAGCCCCAGTAGGTTTCAGGAAGCCCCAGGAGGCCCCAGGAGGCCCCAGGAGGCCCCAGGCTCATGCGCAGAGACGCGTTCATACTACTGAGGTTCATTCGCACTTCAATTCATTCGCAATCAGATGCATGACCAGACCGTCACACCTCAAGCCCGTTTATACTCGAAAATTTTTGCGCCTAGATACTCACGGCGGACACGTCCATGCGAATGGGTGCACATATGGGGAACCCCACGCAGTGAATCATTTTAATCGAGACCGCAACGACAAATCGCGCGGCGTCAAATCGAAACGCGGCTAACGAGCAGCGGACGAAATTAGGCAGTCAGCGCGCAGGAGCGAACTACGCTGCGGCTCAGGGGGCGGACCAGACGCTGATGAACAGGTCGAACACGCCGAAGCCGTCGAAGACCAAGAGGGTGCTGGCCCGAATGCATGCCAAAATGGCGAAGTAATTGATGCCCAGGACCACGTCCGCGAAGAGGACCCAGACGAGTCCGCGGAGGGCAGCGTACAGGCGCTCGGCGTACACGAGGAGCACCGAGGGGGAGGCCAAGGCGATAGCCGCGGCGGCAGGTCGACGGCAGCGCCGAGCAACACCTACAGCGAGGCGGCAGAGCGCAGTGCCAGGAGACACCAAGCACGCGGGGGCGGGGCTCGACAGGCGTATAGGAAACGCGGGGCCCCACGTCGCTGAACGCGCGAGCAGCGCCCGCCAGCCAAGGAGCGCCCAAACGGCGAGGCAGCCCGGCGGTGCGAGCGGCGCGCCCTGGAGGGAACGGTGACCCCTGGCAGGGGCGCCGGCACTCCGCTGGGCGGAGGCGACGGCGCGGGGGGCCAAGCAAGCCCGAGGGAGCCCGCGCCGCAGCGGGGCCGCAGGCGCCGGCCGCGACGTCCCGGGGGGGGAAATGCATCGAGGACTGGGGGGGGGGGCCGGCGGACGCGGAGAGAGACCTGGGGCGGAGGGCCACAGCCCGCGGCGGGGGGAGCCCCAGCACACCCCCGGCCAGGAGACGGCCGTGACGCAGGCCGCAGGGGGGGAGAAAGGGCGGACAGCCCGATCGCGCGTGAGCGGGCAGGGCCGGGGATGGCCAGTGGAGCGACTGACAGTCGCGCAAAATTGGAGACACAGGGGGGCGGGCGTGGGGGACGTGGGCCAGGGGGCGGGCGGGGGGCGGACGCGGGGAAAGCAGCTGGCAGCCGCAGAGTGGGGTAACGTAGCCGTGGGGGACGGGAACAGCAAAAACGTCGATCTTTAAAAAAGGAAACAAAACGCCCCCAGCTTTTTCAAGAACCTCCTCCTCCTCCTCCTCCTCCTCCTCCTCCCTCCTCATCCTCCTCCTCACTTCCTACTCCCTCCTCCTCCTCCTCATCCTCCTCCTCCTTCTCCTCCTCCTCCCCACCACCACCACCACTATCACCACCACCACCACCATCATCATCATCATCATCACCACCACCACCACCACCATCATCATCATCATCATCATCATCATCATCATCAGTTTCATCATCATCATCATCATCATCATCATCATCATCATCATCATCATCATCATCATCATCATCATCATCATCATCATCATCATGAATGTTGCCTCTTGGGGCCTTCTTGGGAGTGCTCTTGGAGGCCTCTTGGGACGTTTCGGAGCGATCTTTGGGGGTATGATGGCTTCTTTGGGGTCGTCGTGGACCGTCTTGGAGCTCTCTGGGGTCGTTTCGGGAGCGCGCCGGAACGCCTGGAGCCCTCTCGGGCAATCTTCGGGCTCTCGTGGGATTCTTCTGGGTGGTCTCTGGAGGGTTGCCCGGGAGGCCCGGGGTGGGGGAAATTGGTTAGGAGGGTAGGGTGGGGCGGTATTTCTGGGGTCCCTGGGTGTGTGTGTATGTCTGTATGTGTGTGCGCGATTTTTCCAGGGTCCCCGTTCCTATGTATACACATATATATACATGTATATATATCATGTGTAGAGGAATAAATAGAATGCAGAGTTATATACCCATAAATTTACCTATATGAAACACAATGCACATACATATAGACATACCCACATGCATCCCTGTATACATATATGCGTACATACGTTCACACATACACTCATACATACATACCTATATACATACATACATACATACATACATGCATGCATGCATGCATGCATACATACATACATACATACATACATACATGCATTCATGCATACAGACAGACATACATACATACACACATGTACCTCACACATATTCATATACATGTACATAGACATGTACCTATACATGTACGCATACATCATATCCATATATATAATGTTACTGATACATACACATGAACCTATACCTATACATATACACAGCTACACCGTGATACGCATATATAGATACGTATGTACATGGAGCGTACACATGCAACATGCAACTGCATGTTTATATATACATGCATTAGTGTTCCCAATAATACAACATGCAGATATATGTTCACAAATCTAGAAATACATACAAACATACATGCGTGCATGTGTACATGTGTACAGACGTACGTACGCATATGCAGTCTTACATACATACATACACACATACACGCATGCATGCAGACAAACAAACAGACGGACAGACATACAGACAGACAGACAGACAGACGTACACACATACATTCATACATGCATACACATACGCATAAACGCATACATGGAGAGGGAGGGGCGACAATGACAGGGGGTGGCCCTGGCGGGCTGCACCCCAGGCGCCTCACGTCGGCGTCCACGTCTTGCAGCAGTTGGGTCACTGCGGCGATGACCTGCATGTCGCCTGCGGCCCAAGAAGGCGGCGGTGGCAGCATCGACGGCGACGCCAACGACGGCAACGAAGCGACGGCGACGACAACCAACTACGAAGACGACGAGGCTCCTCGTCCTCTTCCTCGTCCTCCTCCGGCTCCTCGTCCTCCTCCCCCCACCCTCTTTCGTACTCCTGAAGACAACACAGCCATTGGCGCTGAAGGTGCGCGTGTCGTATCGTCTCCTCCTCCTCCTCCTCATCCTCCTCCTCATCCCCCCACCTCCTGCAAATCCTGGAAAAAGAGCAGCGCGAGAACTAACCAAGGATGTTAGATACCGAAGTGCCAACAGAGGGCACAGCGAACGCTCGACGGTCACGTCTCCTCCATCCTCCCTCTCCTCCTCCTCCTCACGTCTCACTCCTCATTCTCTTTCTCAGACGGGCAGGAGGAGGAAGGAGAGAAGGCGAGAATAGGAACGAGGGGGAGGTGGAGGGCGGGGGGGAGGATGAGGATGATGATGAGGAGGAGGACGAAGAGGGAGGACGCCAGACGGCGGACGGACTCCTCAGTCATTGGTTGTGCTCCAGTACCATAAGAATCAGCTCGTACTCCGCCGCAGAAAAATAACCGTTTGCAAACCGCCACAAAACGAATCCTTCTGCAATCCGTCACAGAAGGGGCCCTTCTGAAAACTGCCACAAAAACGATGCAAGCCGCCACATAAGGAATCATATTGCAATCCGTCACAAAAGGAACCCTGCTGTAAGCCGCCACAAAAGGAATCCTCTTGCAACACCCTACAAAATGGAATTATTGTTGCAAGCCGCAACGAAAGACATCTTTTCATAATCCACGAATCCTTCTGCAGGCCGCCGCAAAAATGATATGTGTGTTTCAAGAATTCTACAACATGTTCCCCTTCCTCGTCCTGCTCTTTCCATGTTCCTCTCCATGAGGGCACTGATTGCAACCAAACCCTACTGTACACAGGTTTTAGGGGTTTTCAGCCGGTGATACCAGCAAGCCCCGACTATACAAGTGGTTTGGTTGGCTTTCAGGAGGCCCGCAAACTTGAGTAAGACTTGCGGGAGGAGCGCATGCCCGCCAAACCCTATTATGCACACATTAGGTCTGGGATGCCACTAAGCCCTACCAGACACAGTTATGTTTGTTTGGTCTTCAGGAGGCCCGCAAACTTGCCCTGGCCAAAATGCGCGGCCTTCTGCAAACCAGCCAAACGAAACATAAACAACTGTGTAGAATAGGGTGCGGTGGTATCACAGCCCCACCCGCAACTAAAAAAGCTTTGTATAGTAGGGTTTGGTGGCATGTCCCCTCCTCATGAAGAGAAAGATGGAAAGAGAAGCAGGAGGAGGAGAAGCAGCAGAAGCAGAAGCAGGAGCAGGAGCAGGAGCAGGGGCAAACGAGGAGGACGAGCAGGAGGTGACATGGGATGTATGGGGGTAGAAGATGTAAGATAATGTGGGGCTACAGACACACTTTATGTGCGTATACACACATGCGTATATACATACACAGCTATGACCCACAAGCCATCTCGGCGAAGGAGGTACTTGAGGTTCTTAGCCGCCTCTTCCATCAAAACCCCTTCTCCCCCTACCCCATTTCCCGAGGGCCTGGGAGGGACCCCGAGCGGAACGTCAGAGGAGCCTTGGCGCAAGATGGATCCAAGAGGGCCCCAGATGCCCCGAGAATGCTTCAAAATGGCTCAAGATATCCGACATGCCTGCGAAAATCCCCAACAGAGCCACAAGACGACCCGAAGAGCCCCCGGAGCCCCTACAGGAAGCACCCAAGAGGCGACAATCGCCCGAAAACCATACAGAGAATAGTGCTTCGACCTTCGGCGGGTCTTCCCGGGCGAGTCTGGTATTCGGTGTTATGTGGCTAGCCTGAGCTCTTTGCGCACGTCGCGTTCGACGCGACGCCGTTATTCGGTCGCTGCTGCGTCTCACTCTATCACGCTCTGTTCGGTTATTGCTTGTTATATGTACATACTGCTTGTTACGTTCTGCTCTCGGCGATGCGCGGTGACGTCTTGACGCATGTCACGTTTTATATCATCAGTCGTTACTGCGCCTGTTCGTTCCCGTGGCCAGCCTTACGTTGGCTCTCATGTTGCGTTCGATCGGGCGCCACTATCGGTCGCTGCTGTCTTCAACTACGCTCAATCCCGTTACGCTCTATTATCCGCCACCGTGCCCCCTGGCACGCTGAAGCGTGGCAGAATGCCAAGGACTGCCTGGCAAAGTCTCTGTAACCTGCTAAGGGACCCCACCCCTCTGGACCGCCTCGTCACGCGCACCGCCCCCTCTTCCCGAGGCTCTGTCGGCGCAAAGACACGTCCCTGGCGTTCTCCAGGGCGCCCCAAATCCCCAAGATGGCTTCCAAGACGGAGCTGGGAGGCCATCAATGCCGCCAAGATGGTCCCAGATGCCTCCAAGACCGCCTTAGAGGCCCCATAGAAGACCCCCACGAGGGCTCCAAGAGGCAAAAGCCAATGATGTTCATTATGTGTGTTCTATGTGTTTCAAGCTATCCCCTTTTCAAGCTTTCGACGCTCCAAGGCGGCCCCGGAGGCCCCAAAGGCAGCCCCAAGACGGCCCAAGAAGCCCCCAAGAGGGCATCTAGACGGCCCAAGAGAGCCCCAAAACGGCCAAGCGGCGCCCAAATCAACCCAAGAGGGCCTCAGACGGTCTCGAGAGGTGAGCAAGAACCAACAATTCCAGCCTTCCGGAGAGGTGAGCAAGAACCAACAATTCCAGCCTTCCGCCTTAACACCCCAAGAGGCCTCCAAGGAGCCCCCAAGAGATATCCAAGATGCCGCCAGACGGCCCCCCAAGAGGCCTCGAAGCTGCCTTCAAGAAGCCCCCGAAAGGGCTCCCACGGTATCCCAGCGACATCATCATCATCATCATCATCATCATCATCATCATCATCATCATCATCATCATCAGCAGCAGCAGCAGCAGCAGCATCATCATCATCAGCATCAGCATCAGCATCAGCATCTGCATCAGCATCATCATCAGCAGCATCATCAGCATCATCATCATCATCAGCATCATCATCAGTATCATCAGTATCATCATCATCACCATCACCATCATTATCATCATCACCATCATCATCATCATCACCATCATAATCATAATCATAATCATCAGCTGCATCATCAGCATCAGCACCAGCCGCATCATCATCATCATCATCATCATCATCATCATCATCATCATCAGCATCGTCATCATCATCATCGTCATCATCATCAGCATCACCATCATCATCATCGTCAGCAGCAGCATCATTATCATCAGCAGCAGCATCAGCATCATCATCAGCATCGTCATCATCATCAGCAGCAGCAGCATCACCTGCAGTTGCAACATCGTCAGCATGGTCAGCATCATCATCATCGTCACCATCATCATCGTCATTATCATCATCAGCATCATCAGCACCATCATCATCGTTAGCATGACGTTCATCCTTCGCAAGCACGGCCTCCGGTGCCCCCTCGAAAGAGATCCGCCGGGCATGCTGGACTGGAACGGTGGCGGGACTTGCCGCAAGCAGCTGGATACTATACTCTAGTATGTTATGGTCGGTTCTGTTCTGGACGGGCAGGCGTGACGTCGTGAAACATGTCATGTTTGAAACGTCGCCGCCCAATCAGTCGTTGCTGCGCCTCTTTGTTCCTATGGCCAGCCTGACCTTGGCGAACACGTCGCGGTTGATAGGACGCACTCAATCGGTCGCTGATGCTCTTCCGTTTGATTCGGCCACGTACGATTCTCAAGTTATGAAGTACAATATAGTACTGCATGCTGTGCTATGCCCCTTCTATACATGACTTGCTATCGTGTGCTACGTTCAATTCTCATCTGCTATATACGACTGAACTGTAGTATGGCATGCTAAATAATAGTGCAATTATTGGTGTGCTATGTTATGTTCGTTTGATGTCATATATGATATCTCCTTTCCCTATGATACGGAAATCCTTCGATTGTGCTTTGAAGGTGCACTCATACTTACAAGATTATTGACGCATCCCTTGCTCGAGCACTGCACTCTCATTATCACAGTGCACGCCATGGATGATCAACTTGTGATCGTTTACCGAATTTGCAAAATCGAATTATGATATGTGTGTTTAGTGCTGTGTGGATTCAAAATGTTGCTCGCATGTGCAATGCTGTAGTATTGTCAGATACATTACCCCATCCACCAGCACACACAATATTACTCGAGCATGTTGCCTACTACGCTTGCTTCTACTGCGCTGGATGTTGTGTTGTTAGTTTGTATGCGCTAAATACGGTGTGCTCTGCTACGTGATGGTACTCGACTTCAGAAGTGGAGATACGACTCACTTATAGTCTAGTGTTGCCACAATGACAGCAAGAGTATATAAACTATGTAATGATATGCTATGGCATACTATAGTTTAATCTGGCGTACCTAAGTGTGTCACAGAGGGACTGCTATGGTATGTTACGATGGAGTATGTGATGATGTGTTCGCATCTGATATGGTATGGCATGTTATGTTAGTGCAAGGTATGTGTTGGTATGCTGCGTTCTGATATACAACGAGTGCTAACGTGTATAGTGCTTTGGTGTGGCATGATGCCCATAGCGAAGCACTGCAACTCATTTTAGCTGCAATAGTGGCAACAACCGTCGAACGTGTATGGTTTGTTATGTTTAGTATGTCATACCCTGGAATGGTCACATAAGTCGCACCATGAGTTGTAGCGTTGTGGCATGATATAGTTTGTGAATCCCTGGAGCCGTATGGCAGTATGTTTCATGTTATGTTCTGATATATGATGTGTATTACAAAATGACTCGTTAGATTATGACCTGGATCATCGGCTCTGCTTTGATATGTCTATTATGACATGTGTGTCCGTTGAGGCTGCTCCTGATTGATTATGCATGCCTCTTCGTTCATGCGTCGTGACGCCTGGACAGCGTGACACCGTGACGTCTCCACCTCGGGG